ATTGCAGCGCATTTTTATAGAAATAAATAAAATAAAAATAATAATATTTAGTAGTCATCGAACAGTGTTCCTTTTGTCCAGGTGGGAAAGGGCAGTGTGGAGTGCAATTGAGATTACGTCATCTGTGGATCTTTTGGGGCGGAATGTGAATTGAGTGGGTCTAGGGTTTCCGGGATGATGGTTTTGATGTGAGCCTTGACCTGCCTTTTAAAGCACTTCATGGCTACAAACGTGAGTGCTACGCGGCGGTAATCATTTAGGCAGGTTACCTTGGCGTTCTTGGGCACAGGGACTATGGTGGTCTGCTTGAAACATGTAGGTATTACAGACTCGGTCAGGGAGAGGTTGAAAATATCAGTGAAGACACTTGCCAGTTGGTCAGCACATGCTCTGAGTAAACGTCCTGGTAATCCGTCTGGCCCCGAGGCCTTGTGAATGTTGACCTGTTTAAAGGGATTGTATGTACGGTCATTGTGGGGACGATGTCATCGATGCACTTATTAATGAAGCCGGTGACTGAGGTGGTATACTCCTCAATGCCATTGAATGAATCCCGGAACATATTTCAGTCTGTGCTAGCAAAGAAGTCCTGTAGCTTAGCATCCGCGTCATCTGACCACTTCTGTATTGAGTGAGTCACTGTTACTTCCTGCTTTAGTTTTTGCTTCACGAGGATATAATGGAGGGCGAGGGAGAGCTTTGTACGGGTCTCTGTGTGTGGAGTAAAGGTGGTCTAGAGTTTTTTTTCTCTGGTTGCACATGTTACATGCTGGTAGAAATAAGGTCAAACGGATTTACGTTTTCCTGCATTATATTCCCCGGCCACTAGGAGCGCCGCTTCTGGATGATCATTTTCTTGTTAGCTTATGGCCTTATACAGCACGTTGAGTGCCGTCTTAGTGCCAGCATCAGTTTGTGGTGGTAAATAGACAGCTACGAAAAATACAGATGAAAACTCTCTTGGTAGAAAGTGTGGTCTACAGCTTATCATGAGATACTCTACCTCAGGCGAGCAAAACCTTGTGACTTCCTTAATATTAGAGATCGTGCACCAGCAGTTATTGACAAATAGACACAGACCACCACCCCTCGTTTTACCGGAGGTTGCTGTTCTGTCTTGCCGATGCACGGAAAATACAGCCAACTCCATATTATGCATGTCGTCGTTCAGCCACGACTCGGTGAAACATAACATATTACAGTTTTTAATGTCCCTTTGGTAGGATAGTCTCGAACAGAGCTCATCCAGTTTATTCTCCAGTGAAAGCACATTGGCCAATAGGACGGATGGTAGAGGCGGGTTACCCACTCTCCGACAAATTCTCACAAGGCACCCGGATCTGCGGCCCCTGTATCTCTGTATCCTCTTAATGCGAATTACGGGGATTTGGGCCTGGGTCTGGGAGCAGCAGTATATCCTTCGCGTCAGACTCGTTAAAGAAAATGTTTTTGTCCATTTCGTGGTGAGTAATTGCTGTTCTGATATCCAGAAGCTCTTTTCGGTCATAAGAGACGGTAGAAAAAACATTACATGCAAAAGAAGTTACAAACAATGCGAAAAAAACACACAAAATAGCACAATTGGTTAGGAGCCCGTAAAACGGCAACCATCCCCTCCGGTGCCGTTATCTCTACCTCACTCCACTTCACTTCCGCTTGTGGTTTAGCACCAGCAGCCACACAGGTTGCAAAGACAACCTCATTTCCCCAACGACAGGAGAGACATCAACTGTAATGCTCACCTCTGCAGAAACTGTGAGAATTAAACAGAAATAGACAAACAGAAAATAAAACATGAATTGACCACTAATAATCAATGTGAATCTATTCCAGATGTATTTAAAAATGTCTAAAACTTGCAGTTAAAATACTAAATAATACATCTATAAGACATCTAGTCTACTAGCATGGACATGTGCACACAAAAATGTTTTTTATGTTAAAAAATACTGAACTGGGGACTGACACAGCAGAATGCTTCACAGCCAAAAAGCCAAGTGGGTGAGGTTGAGGCACTTGCATGCTCCAGTGTCTACCGTTGCCATAGGGATCATGCCTGGGGACTTTCCAGTCACAGCCACTCAGCCACTAGTCTACAGTACATGATGTTACATGATCTGTTCTCAGAGCAACAGCATGACAATCAAGTTAGGAGTCTGGGCGGAGGCAGGCTTGAAAAACTATTGCTAAATTCTGAAACTGGTGTAGAGGGCAGAGACTTGTAGTAACTTATTTGAGGGGAAGAAGACAAAGCTGAATGCTTCACAGCCATAAAGCCCTGTGGGTAAGGTTGAGGCACTGCCATGCTCCACTGATCTCTTTCATTCCCATAGGGATCACGTCACGGGACTTTCCTTCACAGCCACTATAGTCTAGATTGCATGGTCTGTTCTCAGAGTAACAGCAGAGCAATGAAGTTAGGAGTATGGGTGACAGCTTAGCTACTAGCATTCAGTTCTGAATCTGGTGTAGATGGCTGGGCTTGTAAACAGTGACTTCTTGAGGAAAAGAAAACAAGTTCAAAGTCTGTTATCTGATATCTTTTCTCATTATTATTATTTCTCATCACCCCTCTGTCACTGGTTAATACATCCCAGAGAGAAACCCCCCATCTCCAGGGAACAGAGTCATAGGACACCATCAAGTGGGTGATAAAACATCATCGGCATTAGCAGGCTTCCCAGTACACTATTAAAGTACTTGCTGGCCTTTCTCTATGGCCAGTCATGATTCTAAAGCTAGCCTTGTAGGCTGTGGCCTTCTGATACTCAATTGATCTTGTTGAGTCAACCACAGCAGAAATAACAAAGACAAATAACAAATAACAAAGAGAGAGAACCTTAAATTAATGATGATGACTGATGGATACAGCCCACATACTGGGTATATAATACCAGCTGTATAATATTAATCCTCATTCATTCAGGACAAAAATAGTTTGAGTTTTGGGAGAGAGGACATTGGATTTTCCTTTGCAAGGCAGAATCTGCAGATGAGGTCTTTGCTCTTCCTTTATTGAATAATGAACTACTACCCACTTGCTGGTATTGATACAGTATTTATATGCCACCACATACCTTGTGTGTTGTCTTGTATTGTATCAGAGCTACAGAATAGACAAAAAGTCCTTACCAAGCACAGTCAGAGGTATCTCTGTCCTGTAAGATCCACTTGAAACACTGAAGATACATGTGAACATGCCTTCATCCAACAGTCTCACACCCATTAAACGAATAGATCCATGGTTTTCTGCTGTGTTGCCAATAAACTGGACTCTTCCTTTCAAACCATTAGCATAAACAGCATTGTCAGATAAGTTATTGGGTTTAATAAGGAAGAAAGTATAACACATTGGTTCTTCTATGGTCTTTTTCTGCTATCTTATCTGAATTAACTCCTCGTCTGTCTCTATCAGTCTGCAGAATAAGTCCACATCCTCCCCTGTACCACAGTCCTGCTTCCTCCAATCACCTGTATAGCTGGAGAGAAAACAATAGGTCAAAGACTGTCAAAAAGATACTTGTAGATATCAACCCTTGCTGTATATGCAAACTATACAATAACTACCACACTTTTTTAAATGATAAATTGTACCTGTTGATGTTGGAGTATCTAACCCAGATACATTCTCCAGATGAAGAAAACCCTTCTTGAAAAGTCTCCATATTACCCTATCTAATTCAAGACACACACACCCACACACACACACACACACAAATCACAGAAGCTGTTTTCAGTTTCAGTTCCACTGAAAAGCATTCACAGCCCAGTAATTATGCCGTTAAAGGAGAGGGATGTTTCTGGAAAAGTTAATTAGCACTCAACCATTAGGGAAAATATATATTGAGACTCTCCTTGTCACAACTTCAGTGTTAGCTAAGAGGATAGAGGTACATTTTTTGCCAGGCTAATTGTGTGGATGATGTCTCTAGTCTTACTTTACTTGAATAATGAACCCATACTTTCAGGTAATGACATCACACTACATCACTACTTTCTGGGTCATGTCTCATTTGGCAGTGCACCCTACATAGGGAGCGGTTATGTCACCTTTTGTTTCTAAACAGCAGTGTGGCATCTTTCTGCTTTATTTTTCTATTCAGAAGGCTATTCAAATAATGTATCCACCCAGTTGAGGTGTGTCCAGGCCCTGAAATAGACATACAGCAATAAGAAGGTCTGGTAGCTGGGTGTAAAGAACTAGATCTACATAGTAACATGTCTATTATCAATAACAACATGAGTGAAGGACAACTACAGTAATGTGTACATATATAGAGAAACACGCACACTGCAGAATTACATCTCAAGGCCGCTGGTCACACCATGATGGAAGAAAGACGACGTGGCATAGAGAGGCCTGGGAAAGAGTTGGTGCAGGTGTCAAACTGTTAAATAAATAGTGTTTTTGAAAACGTGCGAACAGAACATCTGTAATTTACCTGCACTTAGTAAATAAATCCCCATTTATTAAAAACATCAATTGTTATCATTATTTCCAGTATTCACGGTACTACAACTGCTCTACTGCTAAAAGAAAACTACTGAACTGAGGACTGACACAACTGAAAAATTCACAGCCATAGAACCATGTGGGTTGGGTTGAAGCACTCCAATTTCTGCCGTTCCCATAGGGGACATAATTGCAATTTACAAAGGCTTTATATACCATGTTCACAATACTGTAGTTGTGCTTCACTCGTGTTGTTACTCATAATAGTCTCTCATGAGAAAATAACCTTTCCTGTTATTATGGCTATGATTTTAACTAT